ATTATAAGTTGTGTATTTTATTTTACAAGTAGACTCTGCATTACCCATATCTCATCCATGGTTACAGTAGGGGGGAGACTACATTAAGAATGGTGATCCAATCCAATGGCAGAAGGTGCTTCGCGCATGAGCGAGCAACCCAATTGGCCCTAACATTGCTCCTTCTTCCAACGAAGGATATGCCCACAAACGGTGATTGGAGAAGAGAAGAGGAAATTTTATCAAGTCTCGCTGCAACCACCCATGGCCAGTCCTTCCTTTAACTTTGAAGAGCGTCCACCAACATTTTACAGTCAGATCGGATCATGCAAGGACCATTAAGTTCCTTTGCCAAAACACATTCTTCTTGTAATGCTCTTACTTTTGTTTCCAGTGCTGAGCCGCAGAGTAGGGAGCTAGCCTTCCCATCGCTCCCTTCTCCATGGAAATTAGTGACACCTACTCCATATGTCGCCTCCTGCGAATCGTGAAAAACGATCCATCACAGTGAATCTCAAAATTGAGATTACATGGTGGTGGTGAAGAGTGTGATGAGGTTGGACTAGGCTGACTAGTATGAATGTGCCCATCAATTTTCCTTTTTGGACATAATTTCCAGAATTGAAATTCTTGTAATGCTTTTGCACATATGGATGTTCAAACGGAGTGGTTACCGTGATAACCATTTTAACCCGTAGTATTTAGATAATTTGGTTTGGTTTATTTGGATAATTGGTTTGGTTTTGTTAAAGGTTTTAGTTTGTTTGATTTAGGTGTTTGGTTTCAACCACTCTTAACCGATCAAACCAAATTAACCAGTTAAGTAATTAGCCATATATCTAATGTATTATACACATACTTAATACTTTGCATAACAACTTAAGAGTTAAATGTGAGATAATTATATTAGTTACATGTATTTATGTTAAGGGTTTACTATAATTATGCGATGATTGTTGTGTGTAATTCATTTTATAAATTGCAAATTGATGCACTAAACAGAAAGTTTCTCAATTATTGATAATGTGATGGTGTATTGGTTAGTTTGGTTGACCAATTAACCAAACCGATTAAACTTTAGTTTAGTTAATTTAGTTATTGTATTAGGTTGGACGGTTTGGTTATGATATTGTATTCCATGGTTAATAGAATTTAGCCTTATTTAGTTTGGTAATAATCATGGTAACCATTTGAACACCCCTATTTGCACAAGTCCTTGGGGCAAGGATTGACTTGCCTGAAGGTCTTTTCGTTATGAGCTTTCCAAATATTCAAATTTGGTAAGTAAGTTTTTGCGCATTGTCTTGCGCATACGTCGTCCCACTATCCACAACCATTCCACCACTAAAACAGAGGGGGGAGGAAGAACCAGGTCAGTATGGTTTCAGGCATCTCTGGCGTGACCGCACTCAAAATATAAATGGTGTGTGGATTCCTCCGCATTGTCACAGACAGGACACACTCTGGAAAGGGCACAATGCCGGGAGAAAAGGTTAGCATTTGTTGCAAGAGCTCCGCTCAAAGCTTTCCAAATGAAGAATTTAATTTTAGGAGGGAGGGAGAGGCTCCACAGCCATTTCCATCTTTCATTATCAAAGAGGGGGATGGCAGATCCAGTTTCAGTTCCCCGTTGATGAATGTCATGGAAAGCCTGAAAAGCAGATTGAAGCAAGAAATCCCCATTCAAGGAAAAACGCATGCCTAGAAATCTTCCATACTCGGGGATCCAATGGGGATTTTGTCAATCGCCTACTGGATCTCGCTTGACAACAGGCTCCCCACCCTAGAGAAGTTCCAAGACCGATCGTGTTCATTGATCATATCACAAACTCTTCTCATGTCATCACTAGGGCCCTCAATAACCCCTCCCTGTGTCGAGGGTACCCAAGGTTCATCGACACATGCTGGTAGTCCTCACATTCCCAATCACTCTCACCCACCCGGAATCCATATATTTCCTCACATTACAAATACTAGCCCAGATCCAAGACGACTAACTCACGAGCCTCTCTGAAGTTAATCTGAGGAAAGTAAATGCCTTTCAGAAGTCTCATCCAAAGGGAGTCCGGAGAAGAAATGATCTTCCATGCTTGCTTAGCCAGGAGAGGCAGATTATCAAATTGAAACAATCGAAAGCCCATCCCACCTTCATGATATGATTCCGTTTGGCTCATTCTACAAGCTTGAAAAAGAAGCAATCTCCATCATTATGAATAACCCTGATTTTTTACTAAGTCATTTTTCCAGTTTCAGGTCGCTTACTTTGCAAGCTTGGTCGTCACAATTGACTGAATGAAAATTCGAAGTTAAGGGTTTGTTTTGAAGCTAGAGTGTTCCTCTACACATTGGAATGCTTGGATGCTCGAAGAGAATCCCAGAAGACCATTTTTGAAGCTCATCAAAATGCCACTTCAACACGTGAGAACTGCCTGAAAATGACTAAGTATTAGAGATAGTTTCCCATGCCAACTTTGAAAGCTTATTTGAGGCAAATGGGTGCGATTCGAGTTCAGAGCTTTGTACCACATCAAACTACAGGTTTTCTACTACAAAGCCAAGGGATTGGATTATTGGTTTGATACCTCGAAGGCTTCGAACAAAAGCAAGCAAGATCATCGAAAGTCTGTTTAAACTGTCTTGCTTACTACGAAATCCGAATCCTCTTCAGATTAGAATTACTTTGCCTTTTATGGTTTGCACTTTGATTCTGAGTTTGTTTTTGTTTAGAAATCTCGTATTAGTATGTTTAACTAGCCTAGTTCTATCTAAGTCTTTCAATTATAATGTAATAGTCATATTTTGTTGAATTGAATACAAACATCAAGTTTGATTCACTAGCTTTGCTTCGTGATTGTGTGAGTTGCTTAGAATGAGTTCCGGGTAGCTTTTTTGTTGTATCGATCAAGCCATTCACCCTTGATCGTGGCTGGCTTCTAACCTATTCTTTTTGAGCCTTCATCCTTGTGAACGATTGCACAAAAGATTCATCCTCCACCATCCCAAATTCACCATATTCTAATTCGAGATTGCGAATTGACTTCAATTCAATTCATTGTTGTGTGATTCTGATCCAAGAGACCCATCTAGGGACTCATCACTTCATTTTTCGGAGCATACAGAACATTGCCAGCTCTCTAGTGGATAGTCTTCTTTGATGTGGATCCTGACCAGAAAAATCTTTTAAGCATACTATCCATCTTGTTAGTGGACGCCCAGGGAAACAAGAAAATGCACATAAAATAGGTGGGGATAGCTTGGAAAACAGATTAAAGAAGTACTTCCTTTCCTCCTGGAAACAGAAGCAGACTTTTCCAATTTTCACTTTTAGCTTCCATACGATCGATAAGGAACTTAAGAGTATCCTTCTTAGATCTGCCCTAGGAAGTAGGGACTCCTAGATACTTAGAATGACAAAAGTCGTTGTCAAAATTCAGCATGCTTGTAATACCATGTCTCTCAGAATCCGGCACATTAAAAGCAGAAGAAAGCAGAAGACTTAGCCTGATTAATTTCATGTCTTGTGAGAGCACCATACTCCCGCCCAATCTCCATCAGACGGGATGCCTCCTCCGCTGAAGCCTCCCCAAAGATGATTGTATCATCCGCAAAGAGGCAATGAGTAAGACGGGGATTAGGTAGGAGGAAGAGAGAGAAGAAAGGGATAGATAATATATTGCATGGCTTCTTTGATTCCAAAACAACTATCACCTATCATTATTAGTCGAAGTCCCCTTCAATAGAATGGCAATATGGGGCGAATGAGGGCCGACATAGCTGGTTGATTGGCTCACTTCTCATTATAAGGTTGCTTGTTTGATCCCCAACAACGGTGTTTCCCCCTTCTCCCCATTAGTAACCCTACCTTGTAACAGGTTCAAATAAAAAATCGTAATATGGGAGATTAAGGTGTTATATCGATGCTCGTATATGCTTTGTGTTAGGTCAGGTCTATGTTAAATATTTTATATTGAATCGTGAGTCATATGAGCTTGACTCATATGAACTTTTTTTGTGAACTCACAAAGCCCTTAAAGTGCGCCCCGACCATTATGTATTAAATAATATGGGTATCTAAGTCCCAATATTATCAAACAACAACCAATAAGCTAACATACTTTTCGGTGATCCAAACATGTGAAGACTTATATTTAAAGATTGACGAAAGGCGAGATAGTCTCCTACATAGTTAGACTCACAAAAAACATGAACTAACTTAACTTGCCATGCCTTGTTAATTTCATGATATCATCATTTTGAACTATAGGATCAAGCTTAGCCAGAAGCCTTTGTTTATTTATTATTCTAAGGGAGGAGATCATCTCTAATATATAAAGCCTTATGATAGGCTCTTAGTTCGAACTAATTTCTTCATAATAAGAAGCTGGACTAGTTTTATAGCCAAAGGAAGATGAGCCTAGAAGTTGAAGAACTCATAATAAGAAGTCTGTTCCCACCACGCTCACGGCCCGGCTTGCCTACCAGCGGTAGTGGGAATTCTCCCGTTCCCTGGTCAAAAACCTGGTTGGATGTGGGATCTACTTAATTAAGGCTGACCTCTTTTCTAGAGCGACCCCATTTTCCGCTCTAGCTTCACTAACTGCAAACTCTATTTACCACTTTCTAGATCTCGGAACTAGATCTACTTTCTCATCCTCCCTTCAAAAGCCCCTACTTTGGGGAAGTTCAAACCGACTTCCGCTTACTTCGAGAAAAGTGGGGGGACCGAAGCCAAGCAAAAGGAAAATAATCAAAACTATTTTGTCTGGATGCATTTGGAACGTTCAGTTGAATCGCTGGAAAGAATAATTCAGATAATGGAATGCAACGGAAAAAACATAGATTCCTTGTAGGATCTAATCAAACTAAAAGTTCGTCTGGATTCTTCGATCGAAAGGGAAAGAAATGAGACTATGCAAGCATGGAAAGAGAGGTATGCCATCTGAACAATTCCAGTTAGTTAAGAGGGATCTTGAACTAAGAAATAGATTCTAGAAGCTAAAAAGGGGGGAGGTTATGCAATACTCGACCGAAGGAACGAAGTGGCTCGACCGATAGGGAGAGGAACGAAATTGCTCACATTTGAATTAGAACAAGAAGGAGAGGGGGAGAGTGAGCCCGAAGGTTTAGAATATGTTCGACCGTTGGGAGAAGGTGCGAAGTTGCTCGACTGAAAGGTTAAAGACGGCCTATGATCTCACGGCGAGGGAGGATGATACAGGTACCGCTTCGCACCCGGTGTGGCGCGCCATTTGGAAGGCCCCTGTTGCTAGACGAATCCAAGCCTTCTTATGGCTAGCTACTCAGCAACGCTTATTAACAAACCATGAGCGGCAACGGCGGCACCTGACACCCACGGCGATATGCCCCATTTGTGGAGGAGGACCCGAGAACAATGCTGCATGTCCTTCGGGACTGTCCCTATGCTCGAGCAGTGTGGGCAGTATTCCTTGATGAGGAAACAGACTCGACATTTATCCAGGAAGAAAGACCCGTTCCGTTAGATAGGAACATATTTGATAAATATTGATAACTCTCGGATAGAGTCTTCGAGCGGAAACATCGATTAGAGGCCCTAATCATACACGGCCTTTCCAGGTCATTCTACAGCTTTCTCTCTATCTTTTGTATTTTCGTCTCTTTACGACTAAAGAAGAAAAAGAGGAAAAAAGTCGCCATCCGTACTATAATAGAATAGAGTCCCCCCTTCTTATGGGTTCCCCCACCGACCCAGTAATACACCAATCGCACTCCTTTCTTTTCTCTTTCTCCTCAATCGGGGGGAATGCCATTCTTAACATCTTTCGCTACCTTTCTTTCACAGGTGGCAGAATTCTAGACCATATAACCTTGCCAACAAAAGCGGCCTACTCTATCGCAGTAAGGGCTTAAGCGATCGTAGTGACCTAACCTGGCTCTATCTAGAAGGGCCTCGGTCATCTATATCGTCTTTGGAACTCCTAAAAGAGTTTACGGCCTAGCTCAACTCCTTCCTGCTTTTCCGCAAGGAAGACAGAGTCAAGCAACCTTATCCCACATAGCTCCGGACATTTCTGCCGCGCCTGGGCATCCCGAAGAGATACTACTAGACAGGCAGGCTTAACCTAGGGGGAAGAGACAGGATTCAACGATCGGTGGGTGAAGTGTTCTTAGTACGCTTTTAAAAAAAAATAATAACCTAATTATTAAAACAATTATATTATTATAACCTCGCCAAATATTATTTGAGATTATTAAAATCACTTCATAAACTAACTTTTCCATATTTTGTATCACATTTCATTATTATAATTAAGAGGTGGATGTCTCCATATATGAGCAATTAAAATACATATGCTTAACTTTAAATAACTTAATTCATCTAAATTCAACTGAAAAACATTAATTGTATTTTCTAATAAAATAAAAACTAAATATATTTACAAAAATTAACAAATTACGGAAAATTTTGAAAGCTAAAATGTCAAACTCAAATTTTTATGGCCTGCAGAAGAATTGTCTAATCTCACTAATGTATTAATAAAGTGGGTTCAGGTGTGTTGGTTACTTTGAGAGTCAGCATCGTACGTGAGTTTGCCTAAATGACTTTCTTGGCCCTTAGTTTTCAGGTTGCAACACCAGGAGTGAAGATTGACATCCCAGAGCAGATTATTCCCATCTTTATGAGTATGACTGCTCTGATTTTTGTTTTCCTCTCTCTCTATGGAGTAGAAATTTCTCTCACTTGGGTATGAAGAACACTAGTTCCATGTGTTAGGGATCTTGATTGTAATGACGTTTGCATTGATATACTGCTTGATTATAATCGACTGATGCATGATTTATTGAGTCAATTGAAGCCTGATTAACTTTTTTTGATTTTTGCTGCAACCTGAGATAGATAGAATCAAATTAGGTTGTTAGAGCTTCTTCAATCGGTAGTAGTGAATCGATTATACGAGAGTTAGTCGATTCACTGCTTTGTACTGGAATCCAATTCCAGTAGTGAAGTTATGTGTTAATTTCCTTAGCGTTCTATCCCGGTGAAGACTAGTCGTCTGCAAGGTAGTATGTCTGAGAGGGCTTGGTCAGCTTAAGAAATTCCAAGCTACTGTCGGATCTTCCGCAGTTTAATCAACAGTAAATCAACCAGAGGTAATTAAAATTTTTACCTAACTAAGGAGTTAGGGGAACTCATTCCCGAGTGACTCTTCCCTTGCTTAAGAACTTCGAACCATTTCCTGCTTTCTTACTGCTTTAGATTAAAATCACATTCACTCAACTTAGTCTGCTAGATAATAGATAATTACGGAGTAGGCAGTAGATCTAGACCCTGGGTTGATAAATAGAACTTGCCACTATTGTGCATTTCTGGATTGCGATTACACTTGGTCGCAGTTTGGTGTTGTGTTTTAGCGTGTCAATGTTGCTCAGTCTCAAAAATATTCTCTTGTAGTCGGGAACATCCTTTTTTCCTTGTGCAATTTATGAGTTGCTTTTTCTTTGGTTTCATTTCAGTATTTGGCAAAAACATCGTCATCAAGCTAATAATTCTTAGAGATGCAATGCGTTCGAGTATTTCTCATTATGTCGCTAATGTTCTTTTTTGTGGCAGGTCATCATCTGGATGCTCAATGCGAACGATTCGACTCATGCTTTGTAGGTGTCATTTTGAGATAATTTCAGGTATTGTGATCATCTCTCAAGCGATCTTTGTTTCTTTTTGTGCCTCATAGGTAATGTAAAGATTCTCATATTGTGACTAAAAAGACCCTCTCATCATTGGTTTGCATCTTGTTAACCAGCACGGGTTTTTTTTTATTATTTCTTCTTAGTTTTGACCTACAAAGGTCTTATATATTCGTACATTGCAATGTTGTCAGAACCAAACCAGAGCATGCCCAGTAATGTGAACGACTCATACTTTAGTGGTTCAACCTGTATTGGGCCATTAAAAACCCATTAGAGAACGGATACCTTATAAACAATAATATCATAAGTAGAAGATACATTAGGTAGTAATTTAAAGAATAAAATAAAATGTACCAGGTAACGTTTGTTAATACTACATATTACACATATAATAACTGATAACACTTAAAATAGGTGTTATTTATCCCTTATTCATAAGGCATTTGCATGTTAAATCACCGTGTCTAAGCCACATATCAAGTTATTTATGCCTATTTTTACTCCTATTTCAAAATATCCATTTTGCCGTAGGTATTCTTACTATGAAGGTTTACATAGGGGAACCGACCCCCACTTTGTCGTATTTTATGTTATTCCAAGTGTTTATGATGAAATTACAGGTCTTATATGCATTTGGAATTGATCGGGAATCGATTGGAGTTCATCTGAGCACGATTGCAAAGAATAGGAGCAAGAATGAGAGAAGAGGCACTGGTCATCGCCATACGTCACGGCCGTGACCACCAGATAGTGACCATGCTCGTGGGCTGAAGATCGTGGCCGTGAACAGTAGCGGCAAACTTTAGCAGGCGCCCAAAAAGAAGGCAGAAAGTTTCCCCAGTTGAATCGCAGACATGGTGCATATTGACCGCGAAAAGGACAGCGCCCGGGAGACAAAGATCACGCCCGCGATCTAGGAGCTTAAGGATAGAGTCAAAACGCGTCATTTTGGGTGATACAGAAACGTTCCAACAGGTCACGACCAGGTCATGGTCGACCATCGCTTCAGGCCCTGAAGTCCTTGACCACCATCAGCTTTCTATAAATACCCCTCTTGCTGCATTTTTCTAGGAAGAGCCGACCTAGCGTGAGAGAGTTAGGGTTTTGAAGATCCAATCCACCCAAGGAGCAAGAAGAAGGTGTAAGAAAGGAGGAGAAGATTGATTACATCACTCCCTTTATTCTATTTTATGTTTTCTTTCTCTGTCTATGACTTGAATCTCTAATGGTTGTTTAGGGAAGATGAACCCTAGTTTATAGGTTGTGAATGAATGGGTTATGTTTGAATGTGTTTATTTTGTTGATTTCATTGCTTCTCTAGCTTCAATTGTGTTTGAGTAAGTCGCTCTAACATTCTCTACTAGCCTACTTGAGCTTCTATGTTGGGCATGGAGTTTTAGGGTTAGACGAGTATGTGTCATCAAGCAAATTAGGGATAGATGAATGAATAGGATAATGGTGGATGAGGGTACCGTACCCATGTCATAGGAATGCCTTCCTAGATAGAACCCAGGATAAAACCTCGGTGTGGACAGTGGGTAATACTCATTGAAAGGAGTTATGTTCTTAGAACCCGAGATACGATAGCCTAGATCGAGGTGACTGACATGGGTTTAGGGAAGGCGTATTCGGAGGCGTGTGGATAATCTTGAAGGCCCACTAAAAAGAGCTCACTCACCACATTCTCTTAATCTTACATGACAACCGTAGCTAGGAGGATTCGACCCTAGGAAACCGTCCCATCTCTAGCGACTTCCCAACCACTTGGTTGGTTGTTTATTTTGCCTTTAGGATTAGATTAGATTAGATTAGACTTTTCACCAAACTTCCGATTCGATTAGATAGTAGTTCGGAGCGAAGTAATAGTAAGCTTAGGGTTTCAACCCACTTTTAGCCCTAATAAATGAAAAATTCATTAACTTGCTCTTACATTTATAAATTATATCAAATCTCATCCAGCAAGTGAGTAATAACATATAATATTACACCAAAATAACAATGTCATACTTGGATCAAACATATTGTGAAAATTTACACACACTTATATAACATTAACATTGAAATGTTAAATTTAGAATTTCAAATATTGGGTAAGGTGGGTTAGGCTAAAAGGAAAACCAAACAATAGACACATTTCGCAAACCAAAGGAAAAAATGACACAGTTTGACCTCCAACCCGGTACCTTGCAGTTGTCAATCAAGCAAGTGTACGAGTCCTGTTTTTCTCAACGGGTCGGGGTCTAAGTGGGTAAACTAGCGGGTCGACCGAGGGTTGACAACCTTGATAGTAACTAAAAAAATCATTCCCCACCCTCCCAAAGCGGTAGCGCCGCACACCTTCCTCACCCCCTCTCCCTCTCAAACTCTCGATCTCTTTTCTTTCTTTTTTGTTACTGTGATTGTTCTTTACAAAAACCCTACCCCTACCCTGCCATGGTGCAACTACACCCAGCCTCGCGGCCTCCCTCTGGAAAATCTCTGACGAGAAGCAGCACAACAGTTCCACTGTCTCCGTCGTGCCCGCCACCATCGTCTTATGCCGCATCTATTTCGCCATCACGAACATCACATTCATCCACCCTGCTCACTGTCGCTCTCAGATCCAAGCACCGCGTCCCAAGGGTGGCCATCAACGCGGAATTCATCCGCTCGACTGCGACTCGATTGAGGAATGGAGTAGCAAAGTTGCCAATAATCCAAGCCTCGCCTCCCATCGATATTTTTGTTTTTTGGAGTTTCAATTATTTTCATTGGGCATCCATAAAAAGAAAATAGATCGAACGATTCGAGCGGCTCAAATGTTAACCGTTTCAGCCGCTTGTCGATCGACCATTCTACTTGTTGTAACTTTTGGACTGATACGGGCCGGTCTGACATCCAGGTGGCGATTTTGGCAATCCGACCGAGCAGTTCGAGTCGGCTTTTAACAACGGAATGCGTTAGCATGATTACTTATTTTTAAGTAATCATCGTGACTACCAAAATCTACACCATTCATTAACTCTATCTCAGTTTATTTGTAAATTAACGGTGAAGA